ACAGTTCTAGTATGTGACTTTTACTCTTTTCATTGCTGAGTTCTACAGGATCTTTAAAGAAGAACTAATACCGGCACTCCTCAAGCTTTTCCATGGGATCGAAAGGGAAGGAACTCATTCTATGAAGCCAGTATTACACTCATCCCCAAAGCTGACAAGGACACAACAAAAATGAAGTATTATAGGCCAATCTTTTTAATAAACTTAGATGTAAAAATTCTCAATGAAATACTGGCAAACAGAATTCAACAACATATCAAAACAGCATACACCATAATCAAGTTGATTTCACCCCAGGGATGCAGGGAGAGTTCAACATATGCAAATCATTAAATTTAATACTTTTTAAAAATAGTACATGCACAGAAGGATAATGAAAAAGGTTGTGTACGTAAGATAAACATCAAACCAGTTAATGCTTCTTTAAGAAAAATGTGCACAAGTTTGCTTTGAAAGTTGTAAGTGACACTACCGATTTCAATAAAATCCATATAAACAGAAAATCATAAGACTGAATTTTAAGTGGTTATATGCAGAGTATCAAATGACACATGTATTTGAAAATAGGGAAAACCAATTAGCAAATAACTCATCCTGTTTGCACTTTATTAGCAGTTTCTTTAAATTTTGCTTTGAATTACAAGTCATTGTTAGAAATTAATAAAGCAAACTGATTTGGGTATCTGGATGGAAAGGCTGAATTTCACACCTCTCATATGCCAATAGACTTTATCAAAACCATGAGGACACATTAACTGGTGTCAGTAAGCTCCAGGCAAAATTCAAATTTTGACTGAATAGCAAAAATGATTATTGTAAAATTGAGAGTCTTTCAATAAAGAAATGCTTTTTACTTATAATGAAAATTAGCTAATGGAGATTTCTTGCACTTTGATTAAATCAAACCAACCATGTCTCACCACAGGTATGCTTTTCAAGAAATCAAACAAATGTGTAAGGTTTCAAAAGGATGACCTATTTAAAATTGATGCAACTTATTCTAAACCTAGTGACTAATCTTCTAAACACAATGATCTGAAGATATTTGACTTTATCTCACTGTTACTAAGGAAGTAAACCATAGAAGTAAAATTTCTTTTTCATAGTTGCCTGGCAAAAAGAGTTCGGCTCCATTCTGCTATATTTCCTGACAAAATAAGTTTAGCTTCTTGGCTAATAATAAAAACACAAACAGTGCTTTTTAAGAAAGCCCCAATGTTCTCTTTTCATCAGCGAATCCCTTGGGTAATGGGCCACTATCCTGCTGTGCAGCTCCACAGAGATGGTTGATCCTCTAGCTGAAATCTTAGGAGACACACAAAAAGAAGACAGAAGTTAAAATTCTTACAGTGTAAATGAAAAAGAAAGGCAACAGCCTGGCGATGCACCTCAGGGGTAAAGTATGTGCTTAGCATGTACAGTGACTTGGGTTTGATCCCCCAAGTAACACATGAAATTAATTTATTTTTTTTAAAAGAAGAAAGTTCTATTTTGGTGTCTTTTAAAAAGGCATCTAAATGAAACATATTTTGCTTTTTAAAATGGATAATGACTGAAAAATAATCATGAATATGAGCATGTAGCTAGAAAGATATTTAATACATAGCCGCTTAAAATAGTGAAAACTGGAAATAAACTAAGTGTCCAACAAGGGGGATTGGTTGAGATGCAGTCATGTCATAGACAATGTGATGCAGTCTAGAGTGGCTTAGTGACACAGAGAAGGTGCGATATTATGGTAAAGGTGTGACATTATTGTAAAGCTTGAAAACCATTTCCCACTCCACATTTAGGTGAGAAAAGGTTAGAGACGTGTGTGTAGAGAACAAACACAATTTTGTAGACAATAACGTATTAGTTGTGCAACTTCAGGAAAACTGTAATTTCCACAAATCTGTTTCTCCTGAGTATAAAAGGAATTAACAAGAGCAACACCTCACAAGTTTGGAGTGGGGATTACAGGAGCTGTTAGTTATATAAAGCAGCTAGCATGTTGCTATTTACTGGGTAAATTTGGTACATATCAATTTTTTTGTGTTGCTAATGGGGAAAGAAAAACAATGGGAAGATATAATGTCAAGTGCTTTTCTGGGTAGTGGGATAACAGCTGGTTTGTTCTACCTATTCTTTTAAAACTTCTATAAGTAACTATAAGTTTCTATAAATAACACTTATGAGGAAAACCAGTAAAGGGGGATATTCACACCAACTGGAAACCTTCCTGAAGATCTACCAGTGTGTTTTCTTCATAGCAAATAAATCTTGGTTGATCTAAATTGACCTTTCAGATTTCATTTAAACAAGCTTGCCTTAAAATTATTTAACTCTAAGGACTAAATTTGTCTCTACTACTTTCATTAGATAAAGCAAGATCTATTTGCCTGGTTCAGCGTCCCAGGAATGTATGAGTCCTAATTCAAAAGCCTTTAGAAAGTCACCAGATTCTGCATTATCAGTGGGAAGCAGCCAGGTCATTTGTTTTCTCCCTGCTCCCCAGCTCTCTCCAGCCTTCTGAGTCCTCTTCCCTCTCTATGATCAAAGGTTGGGGTTCTCTCTACTGGACCATAGGTCTCAAGGGCAGTAACAGAGACTCCTTCATCTTAGCATGGCTAGCTCCTAGCACAGGCTGGCATCTAGTACTTGCTTACTAAATGTTCAGCAAACAAATGAATTGAATAAATATCTAATACTAGTAGTTCAGGATTTGATTGCACCAGAAGAAAATAAGACAATGGTCAATTAGACACTCTCCAGTCTGAAACTCCACATTGTGCGTGCCCGTAATCTCCATACTTGGGAAGCTGAGGCAGGAGAATCTCAAGTTCAAGGCCAGCTTGGGCTACATGGTGAGATTCTGTCTCCAACAACAACAACAACAAACTCTCACCTCAAAGTATATCTTGTTGTCTATTTTAATACTTGTAAAATTATTTCTATTTTTTCCTTATATTTTGTTTAAAATCCCCCAAGCATCCAAGGAAGTTTCTAAGTAACTTGTTCAGAGTGTAGCACAGCTGCTTCTTTAGCACCTGACAGTCTTAGGTCTCCCAGATTTCCACGCCCTGATCTCGCTAGCTAAACCTTGTTGTCTTTATTCACGTGAGAAGGCCAAAGGCTTCAATTCTTCCAAATCTGTCCTAGTGCTTTTACAAGGTTTGGGATGAGGAGAGAGACACTGAGAACAGGAAAAGCAACTGAAACTTTATTCAAGCATTGGGCTCCAGGTTCATAAGTCAACCAGCTTTATTTAAAAATGAAACTAAAGGAATCAAATTAAATATTAACTTGTTCAAAAAAAAAACAAAAAACAAAAAACATTTCAACCAGGAGACCACTGTGAAGTAAGAATACCAGATCAAGGAAAGGGCTGTGAAAAGGAAAACTTGTGCTGCTTCTTGAAAAAAAAAAAAGGGTAAAGTTAGAGAGCTTTCCACAAATCTCTCTTCTTCCTGCAAACTCCAGGCTTGTCACTTTTGGCCACTGCTCTGATGTTGTTTAAACAGTGAGTGGCGGTTCCTAGGACATAGGCTGGGAAGCAAGTCTCCTCAGGTGTCCAGAGGAATGTTTAACTTCCTGAAACCATCAGTCCCACTTCAAGTGCCTCACCACAGGAGGCCACCTGCTGACTCTCAGCCCACCAGGTTTACAAGAAGGAAATTAATTGGTTATTAGCTAAGCCAGCTGGAACTTGCTGTTATTTATATATAAACAGTTACAATTTGTTGGAATCTGCTTTGTAGCAGACAATATAATAAATCTCTTGTGTTTTCATCTGCACCATTATTGCCGTTAATCCTTATTTAATTCTCATTATTATCGGAAGCACTTATAATTCCATTTTACTAGTAGGCGTGAAATCAAGGAACGGAAAAGTTAAGTGCGATTCAAAAATCCACGGCCAAGCCAGTGGCACTAAATAGCTGAATTTCTTCAAAATTTAACACGTATGTCAAAATGATTTTAAGGTCATTTTAGAATAAGCCAGTGTTGAAACAGAGGCATGGCAAGGTTAATAAACAAACATAAATAAAAGACTGCAGGAACTAACCCTTGAGTTGGTTTTGGAGAAGGAACGAGTGTCCAGACCATAGATGTTGACAGGGGTCCACTCCCACCCCTCTGCGCCCAGAAACCACTTCTGCCTTCCCTTCAGGGGAGCAGCTCTGAACGTAAAGCGTTGAAAGGTTTCCGTGGGGGCAGCCCAGAGCTGTCATCACTAAGTGCCTCCCGAGAAAAATTAAAACAACAAAAAAAGGACAGTCCCTCCTCCCCTCCACCACCTCAACTTCAGTCCTGCGCCTGATGGCCCGGAGTGGCTCTGGACCATCTATGGTTTAAGCCGCGTCTTTCCAACGCCAGCGCTCAGTTACCCAAAATGGATTGCAAATGAATGGGCTGGAGGGTGACAGCGGGCAGATCGAGCCACCCGGCCGACCTCCTGCAGCCTATACCAATCCCGGGAAGGATGCCCCAGGAAAGCCGGGTGGGGCCCGACCCGGAGCCGCGTCCCCCGGGTGGCGATCCCCCTCCCCCGGCGCGCGTCGCAGCCCATCCTCCTCCCACCCGCGGGCGCCGCTTACCCGCGCGCCAGTGGGGCTCCCGCCTCTCTGGACCGAGTCACTTGCTCCCGGGGGAGGAGCGGCCGGGGGACCGTGCCGCTGTCGCAGCCGCAGCCGCTGTGCCCCGATAGCGGCGCCCCCGCTGCCCCCGGGCCTCGGCCGCGAGAAAGTTTGCTCCGGGTCTCGGCCTCCCACGGCCGCCGCCCCCAGGCCGCAGTCGGCGGCACTGCAGCTCGGGCCGGGCCGGGCTCGGGGCGGCCCAGGGCGGCTCCGTGCGCGCCGAGGGCGCGGTCTCCCCGGCCGGCTCCACTCGGCCCGCGGCGCTGCGCTCGCCGTTCACCACGGCCCCGCCGCGCACGCCCCGCGCCCTGCGCGCTCCTGACATCATTCATTCTCCCGCACACCCTCGCCCGCCCACTCCATTTCCAAACAGTGACTCACCCGCCGGCGGGGTGGCGGCTGCGCCTCGCTGCTTGTGGCTCTCCTGGCGCACAGCGGAGCTCGAAAAACCGGTGCGACTTCTTAAGAAGCAAATCCCAGCCCACCGACCCTCCCCGCGCCCAGCCCTTAAAGATGCAGAGAAGGAAGGACTTGGCACGCAGGGCAGATCGGCCCCCGGGGCGGAAAGGTTGACAGCCCAGGGCAGAGTGAACCTCCCGGAGTGGTGACAGGGATCGATCTGGGAAAGTTCCCTCGGTGCCACTCCCAGCAACTTTCAGGGGTGGGGCTGGGCAGGGATCTACCACCCCCGCACCTCCGCCTGTTTCCGAAACGGCTGTCCTGACTGATGTGAGTGGGTTCAGGGCACCCGGCGTTGATTCAAAGGGTGTTACCCCGGCCTGGGTCAAAGGGGTGGGTTTGCAAACAGTCCAAGATTGCCTAGCAGTGTTAGTCACCCTTCCGCCTGGTGGCACCTCTAGGTGAGCTGGAAGGGTGCTCCCAGCCAAGGAGGCTAATGAGGTTAACCATCTTGTCACTTGTTCCGTTAAGTTTATGCGTCTCCGTAAGGATAAGAAACCGTAACCCAAATAAACATAGTTCCTTCAAGACACAGTGAAAACTACTGAATAATATGGGGTGAAAGGGAAAGGGTAAGGAAGAATAACAGAGTGGGTTAGACTGAATAAAATACAATATATTTGCAGGTAAAATACCAAGGTAAAATCCCCCTGAACAATGAACCGACAAACAATGAGGGACAAGAACGCAGAACAGGTCATGTAAGAGGAGGGGACTACTGGGAGGGGGAGGGGGAGTATGGTTGATGTATTTTCTATACATGTATGAGTACATGTACACTGGCAGCTGACCAAGTCATTTTGAGGGGAGTGGAGGAAGAGAGAGACTAATAGAGGGAATGAACCAACTTCGGGTACATTATATGCGTGTATGGAAATGTCACAATAAAACACCCTGTACAACTATTGTAAACTAATAAAAAATTTTTTAAAAAGAGGAGTTCCAAAGAAACCTGTTTAAGTGGGGCTGGGAGGGGGTAGAGGGGGAGAGACGATGGAATTGATCTAAACAACGTACAATATAAGCCTAATCGGAATGCCACTATGAGTCCCCCCATATATTGAATATATCCTAATAAAAAAATTATAATAAAAAAGAATAGGTGGGACACACAGAAGATGAAAGTTAACAGTGTTTCTGCAGCTATTAGGGAAATTCGTTCTGAGGGGTAAAGATTTAATTAGAGCATAGATCCTTTTTGAGGTAACTTTAAACTTGGGAATTTGTATGCTTCTAAGATTAATTCAGGAAAAAAAAAAAAGAGGAGTTCCTTGCTCACACAGACACTGTTTTTCTTGCAGCTTTTGAGGCACAAGGTGGCCCAGTGTGGTTTCCCAGATGACCTCAGCAGTTATGTTTTTGGAAGGGGCGTGGCTGTCTTCAGAGTCAGCCATGGAGGCCTGGAGTGTCTAACTAGGAATCCAGAAAATCGGCAAATCTTTATTGACTTTAATTCACAAGAGCATCTTCTGTCCGTGTCTACTTCCTATAGGGTACTTACGTTTAGAATTTGCATTGGCTTCTGGGTGCTTTCATATAATCACAAAAATAATGAGAGGCATTTCCAGATGTCTAGTGTGGATATCATTTGTATAAACAACCATTTGCCTGTGATTATTAAAAATGATGATAACAGAAAAGCCCAAACTGACAGCTGTACAATGTCCCCCAAATGAAATTGCTCCTGAAAATGACCAAAGGCTCCACACCATTGTTGTGGAAAATGTACTTGTTTAAAGCTGCAGAAAGGTAAGAACCCAGAAGACAGCATCAACATCTGAAATATATTTTTCTTAGGCTTATTTTTCCTTTTCAGTAAGGAGTTCATTTTTAATTTTACAAAGCCCAGGCATTTTGCCCAGAAGGCAGCAACAAATGGATTGGTTTGCTAGGATGCAGTCAGAGTAAGTGGAAATTCGAACCAGCAGTTCTTGCTGACAATCACAGGTCTAATTTAGAGTGTCTGGGTAACAGAAGATCAAGATTCAAATGTGTAGCCACACATAGGAAGTTGGGGTGAATAGCCCCTCCCCTTCCCTACTTTATAACCCAAATATTTGGACACTATGGAAATAAGTAAAACTTTCTGCAGATCTCAGAAAAATGATGCTGTGGGCGCTTTGGACTCTGTACATGGATGAAGTCGAAAGCAAGGCCTGCCTGCCTACCTGCCTGCATTGGTCCATGTTTCAAATCCTGCCACGCTTCTGTCTGTATGAAAGGCTGTTTAATGGACAGTTCTGAATCTGTGGGTACTATTTTGCCTCAATTGAAGCATTGTGAGGTCAGTAATTAAATGCCCCAAGTAAATAGAATAGCCTAATTAGAAATGAGCTACATGAAGTTTTCCATTATATGCACTATCAACATTTGAGAAAGCAAATTATTCATCTTAATTTTTATGTTTAAGAAAAATAGTGACATCCAGCCAGGTGCCAGTGGCTCAAACATGTAATCCTAGCTACTTGGAAGCTGAGATCTGGAGGATCAAGGCTCAAGGTCAGCCTAGGCAAACCATTTGAGAGATCTAAAGCAAAATGGACTGGCTCAAGCCGTATAGCACCTGGTTTGCAAGCGAGAAGTCCTGAGTTCAAACCCCACTTCTGCCAAAAAAAAAAAAAAGTAATGTTCAACTCATAGAAAAAAATGTGGTTTCTTTTTTAACTGTACCTCTTCTTCTTACAATGTATCAAAGTTTACTAAATCCATTATTTATCACTTTCAAAAATAATGGTGGTGATTGCTCTAACAGACAGAAAAGGTGGGTAGGGCCAGGTGCGGTGACACATACCTGTAATACCAGCTTTGGGAGGACAGTTTGGGAACAGTCTGGGCTTTCTAGTGAGGCCCTGTCTCAAAGGGGGAGTGGTGCTTGTAAGCAAATGTGTTTTTGTCAGTTGTTTTTCCTAAGCCAAGGTATACTGTAAACTAAGTTTTATAGATATTTCTTTTGTTTGATAAAACAAACTGATCAAGGTAGGAAAACATATCTACAGTACTTATCTCTTCTTGAGAATACCTGAAGTCATTTGTTTAACCAGCAAATTTTCATTCCACTTGGTGGCCATGGTTGTTTATCTAAAAATCACTATATACATCTTCTAAATACTTCTCAGTAATGGAAAAGAGTGTTTTTAAATTTTGCATGAGGATGTTTATCATTACTTAGCATATTGTCTGCCATGCAGTCAATAAATAAATTAATTAATAAACAAATGAGCAAGCCTTAAAGGACAATGAGTAATAAAGACACTCCAGATTATGAAAAATACAAGCAGAAAAGTAACACCCATTCCTTTTTTTATGTAACAAATACTAGTTCCCCCCCCCCCAAATTCATAGCCACAGGCAGTTATCCCTTAGTATCTGAGGGGGATTGGTTGCAGGACCCTCACAGATACCAAAATCTGTGGGTACTCATATTCCTTACATAAAATGGTAGTGTTTATTTATAACTTTCTGCCTGTTCATACACTTTGAGCCATCCCTTCAGGACTCCTATGTAAAGCAAAGTAAATGCCATCTCAGTAATCATTCTACTATAGTAGTTAGGAAAAAAGTTTGCACGTGCTCAATGACTATGAAATCCTTTTTTTCCCCTAACATTTTCAATCTGTGATTGTTTGAATCCACACAAATGCAGAATCGAGTGATAGGAGGGCTGACTACCTATCTTGGCAATGAGGACAAATGTGGGGTGACAACTTGTATTTCCACACTATTTTCCAGTGAGCCCATATTACTTTGTAATTAAAAAGAATAATGCAAGCAATATTAAAACTTAGAAAGCAGTATTGCAATGAGTCCATGTCATCAGGGAACTCGCTGTCTAGGTGAAAGCACAGTAACAAAGCAGCAGCAACAACAATGACAACTAGAGGCTGCTCGTCCCTGTTTTGGGACCATCTAAGAACAAACAGCTACTGATTATTGAGTACTTATTGCATGCTGGGGACCGCACAAACTGCTTTGCTCATATTTTCAGCCACCGTTTGAGGTTAATTTTAAACCCCCAAAAATATAAGCAAATGCTATATAACAATAGGAAGTGAAGAAAAGAATATAAAACTATTATACATATACTTTATTCTGATTTTTTATTTTCTGTCCTCGCACTCTTGTTAGGTCTCCATGATGTGCCAAAATATGGGTGCATTTTAATGTGCATGCATGTTGAATTTAGTCTCTGAACTTTGGTAATCTACTTTTTTTTTTTTTTTTGCAATGCTGGTTTTTGAACTCAAGGCCTCATGCTTGCTACACAGACACTCTACCACTTGAGCCATTCCACCAACCCTTCTTTGTGTTGGGTATTTTCAAGATAGGGTTCTCAAGGACTATTTGCCTGGGCTGGGTTTGAACCTCGGTCTTCTTGTTCTTTGCCTCCCCAGTAGCTAGGATTACAGGTGTGAGCCACTGGTGCCTGCCAGTAGTCTACCTAATTTGAGAGCATTTTAGTATGATATTTGTACATTTTTCCATTGGGTCATCCTCTTTATATTTAGCATCTACTATGCTATGAATAGAAATGTCCTATATTAACTACAAGGTCTCGGGGGTATTCAGAAAAGGAAACGAGAGGTAGTCTGTGCTACACTTTGTTAACATTACTGCCCATGTCTCTTCTGCACTGGAGGAGAATGAGCAGGGCATAGTGAGAGCACTGTGCAGCTTACCAACCACCTGGGTCCAAAATGGCAGTGGCCTGCACTGAGAGAGTAGTTATGGCAATGAAATCAAGCAGATTTGAAGGGTAATGGCGGGTAACTGCAGATAAACTGGATGTGGAGAAGGAGCCAAAATGACTCCTACTTTTCTTTCTTGAGCACTTAGGTGAATGGTGGTGCCCTTTACCAAGGCAGGGAATATTGAGGTAGCAGCACGTTTGTGGGACAAGATGCTGAGTTTTAAAGCTGTGTGAGATGTGTAAAAGCCGATATCAAATGCGAAGTTTATTGTATTGGTCTGGAAGGAAGAAAAGAAGCATGGACCGGAGAAATAAAC